ACCGCCCCGGTCCCGGTACCCGGAGCGCGGCGTGGGTGCGTGGGCTGCGGTTTGTTCCGCTTTCGAAGGGGACTCCTGACCGCTGGGGTTTTTTTCTCCGAGTTAGGCAGGAGGGATAATCATGAATGAGTTTAAGCGTTGCATTCGCTTTCAGCATTTCCAAGGCGAAGTATTGGATTTCATATTTATAAGAGGAATTTGCATTTGTACATTGACTCACGGCGTGACGTAGGGCGAAACCGATTTCCTCCCCCCCTCCCCCCACTTCAGCTTATTTTGGTCGATATGGGGCAAATCAGCAAACAGAAAAAATAAACGTTTTAATCCCTGCTTTAATAAGCGCTGACCCGAAGAGCAAGATTTTGTTGAGTAGATAACGGAGTCCTCTCTCTCCGTCTCCATCCCTCCCTCCCTCCCTCTCTCCCTCCCTCTCTCTCTCGTGATTAATTCAGGGACTGTAATCATGGACATTGTACATCAAACCTTTCCGCTCACGCTACAGACTCCTGCAGATTTTTATTGGTTTACATGAAAGCGAGTAAACATATTTCAGAGGATGCCCTTTCAATCTGGCTCCATTTCCACAGCACATAATTCCAAGGACAATTTGTTTTAATAATAAGAATGGATGCAGTGTTAATGGTTTTCAATTTGTGTTTTAAAAAAAAACATTAAATATTTATAAGTATCGATCGAGGGTTTCAGGATTTTACAGACGTCTTAACACATTTCATAGATGGGATTTTTTTTTTTGTTATTTAGAAACCTGCGTCGTATTCTCTTCTATGCTGTTTATTGATTTAAGCAACATCCGTGTCTCAAATGAGAGACTAATAGATTTTCATTAAAATAGGCTCTCTTAATCCTGATTGTGAATGGATATGATTGATCCATTCAGCACACTACACATCTATAATATTAATAAAGGACATTATCATGGCAGGACTTGCTTTTCCGTCATCAGGGCACTTTTTTTTTTCCTTGCAACTTTAAAGATTTATTTAGGGGCTGTAAAATGGCCCACAGGAGGGAAACGCATTGGGAAAAATACATTTCTATTTTAGATTTTTTTTTTTGGTAGCTTCAGTGGAAAGATTTTTTTTTTTTTTTTTAAATCTACAAGCCGCCTTGGGAACATATGGTGAAAATTAAACTGTTTCCCCGCAAATCTAATCTTAAAACGTTTATGTTGAGTTTTATTTTTAGAAAAACATTTTTAAAGGAGAGGAAAACAATCTTGGATGAAAAGTAAAATAAAAAGCACGGGAAAGGCTGTAGTTTAAGCTGACCATAGCCCACTCGCCCGGGCGAGGCTGCCGGACGGGGATCGTACCTGGCGAATACGCTGCGAGGCGGTCGGGACAGGAGCGGCCACAGTAATTAATGGAGTGTGACAGAAATGCGAAGGGCTTAATTGTCTTTATTCCGACTTTTAGCAACGCAGCCAAAGGCACACACTAATTCTGTGCCTACATGGAGGTACATGCAAACACACAGGCTCACACACACACGCGCGCACAACGTCTCTGTCACAATTATTTTTTTTTTAAACAGCTGCTTCTTGCCAGGAACATTAATTACTCATATATTCATTAGGGGGAACCTAGACGCGTTGAAATCCTCATCTACTTTTACTTTTGTAAAATTAAACATTCACGTGGTGAATTACAATAAGCAGTTGCTTTTGTCCGTAATTAATTATAATTTAGGGGGCGAGCATAACGGGCGAGTAGCCCCCTTGATTTCTGTCGTCCTGGATAACTCGAGCAGAAATGGAAGAGTCTATCAGAAAAACAGCAGAAAAAGAGGGAAAAAAAGTTCCGAGCTGTAAAGTTTGTACTGATTTTAGCAACACGAAATACACACAGAGAGGATTGTTTGCCTCCTTCAGTAACGCGCGAGGGACGCTGCAATTTTGAACTCTGTAATA